GAAGGGAACATAATGCAATAGATTTAACAGGCTGAAAACGTGACAAAATTCAGCCATTGTCTGTCCATTTCTATATATGGTACATTTAAATACTTCGGTTTCATATGATTTTCTACAGCAGTCGTTGTTAAGTCACGAAAACACTCTAGAAAATTGGCTTTCATAATCCAACAATGAAACGGCAACTAACCGTACTCTGAAAAAGTCCATAAGGCCCAGGTAGAGTCGTCGCTATGGTCTGATTATCTCGGTACACCTGCATTTATGTTTAACAAACCGTTTGATCAATGATATTCGTAATATCGTTAGGGACAAGTGAAGTCAATAGAGAACGGACAATGAGTGTTACATTATTGAATATCGCGCAACTATGCGGAGACTACCCAGTACTTAAGAACTGAATAAACTGTCAAACGTATCAAACTAATTAATATGCAGCATTTGTACAAATTTCATGCTTAAAGTTAAAGTGTGTTGAGTTCTAGATACGATCATTAACTAACTTCATGCCAGTTTTGAGTTTGCAATTGTTGCCACTGCCATGGACATGAGTTATTAGTTCAGTTTAATATCCGAACTCTGAATTTTTTGATGGTCAAAGAAAATTTTATTTCTCAGTCTACTTTTATTAATTTAGTTGAAGGAAACTATGGGAGAAACAGGCAACATCACATTGCGAGAGTTCTGCAAACGCGAAATTGTTTTTACTCTTCTACCGCTCTGACTAAGTCATGGGCTGACCCTGGGGATTTGCCGATTAACTTTAAGAATTTCAATTTAATTTCTGTCTTTTCTTCTTAATTGAAAATTGTTCAGGAAAGTGCTGACATCAAAACTAGACCTACTTCAGCTGCACTGATTACAAAGAAACACGTGATGCAAGTCAACACTTGTGTATCAAGAAGAATATTGCAGCCAGTATTCAAAAATGAATGAGTCAATTGTGTTTTTGAGCATTGTACGATGCATCTCAAATATCTCAAATTGAATTGGCGGGTGACGCGGAGAGAAGCGAACAACGTGCTACAGTGCCAAAGAGTCGCCAGTCACATTTTGGTCGAGAAATTCCTCGCTTCCTGTTGGTTAAAAACCTCTGTAGCTTCGAGCTGATATATTCTAATATCACGAAACTCATTTTTAAACCTCTGCCCTGTGTTTCAATGCGCCCGTTCTTGTCCAACGGTGCATCGTGTTGTAACTGAATCAGTTATTTCGATCTGCTTTTTCGTTGCATTAAAACATTATTTCCGCTGAAGTTGGCAGCACCAGCTTTTACAATCGAAAATGAACTTAATTTCTCGTCTTTGTGCATCATTTTTCATATACACGCTTTTCAGAGGAAGTCCAAAAGCTGGAAAGAACTTAAGCACCGTCAAGTCCCTGCGTGTCCTCCGCGTTCTGAGACCTCTGAAAACAATCAAGCGGATTCCTAAACTCAAGGTATGTACTTTGTTGCAGACTAGTCTCTAACTTCCTTTACTTTAGGCCGTTTTCGACTGTGTCGTTCATTCACTGAAAAACGTTTTCAACATTCTGATAGTGTTCATCTTGTTCCAATTCATTTTTGCAGTAATTGCAGTTCAGCTCTTCAAGGGGAAGTTTTTCTATTGTAGTGACCGGACGAAGCGCTTCGTGAGCGAATGCAAGTACGTTATTAGCCATTCCTTCTTATTTTACTGTAATTTCTAGTTCTTCGACAACTTGAAAATATTAATTGCTACTATGGCAGAGATTATAGTGTTTAACGAAGTTAACACTTGGAAAAAGATAGAATAAACGGCTTAAATACATCTACGTCTAAAATACTTTCCTGAAAAACAGATCACATCATCGTTTTGATTTTTAGCGTATCGGTCTTCTTTATGGAGCGAAGCCGAAGCTTAACAATACTACATTTTGAACACCTGGCGAACTTGTGAGAGTAGTGAGGCTTATTCTACCTCTGTTGAGCTTTGGATTTGTATTTTGGTTCATGTTGATACCTTATGGCGAAGGAGGTATGATGAGTCTTTGAAAGCATGATGCCGTTCGTTGATTCTTCCCCGATGTCGGCTCATTATTTACATAACAATTATAATTTATGTTTCTGTCTTTGTTTATGCGTATAGAAAAGTACAAATTTGCTATTAAATTTTCCGGTGGTTCAACAATTGCTCGTACATTGAAGTGCGCAAAGTTACGTGAGTCTATTTTTAAAACGACCCTGTGGAGGAAGCTGACTGCCAGCCACAAAATGTGTTCGTGAACAGTTGAAAGTCTGTTTTCTATATGTTGTGTTCGTAGCGCAGCGAATCTTATTGAATCATCCAAGAATATTTATTTTAATCATGAACATAAACATTTAGAGGCTATTATTACGTGTATCGAAAGCAGTACCAACAACCTGAAGTTGCCGAAAGAGAATGGAATGTGTATCCGCTGAACTACGACTCAACAATTAACGCCATGCTGACGCTGTTCACAGTCACTACTGGCGAAGGTTGGCCAGGGTAAAAGACTACAAAAAAAAACATCTGCTCACAGCAAAACAGAAACAAAATTCTTTTCAGAATCCGCCAGGTTTCAATGGACACTACTGAAGAAAATGAAGGCCCCATACCGTTCAACAGAGTCGAAGTTTCCTTGTTCTACGTCGTCTATTTCATCGTTTTCCCTTTCTTCTTTGTTAACATATTCGTTGCTTTGATTATCATTACCTTCCAAGAGCAAGGTGAAGCAGAGCTAGCCGAAGGTGATCTTGACAAAAATCAGGTACGTTTTAATGTATTGTTCAAAATGAGCTTCACCAGCTCATTGGCTTGAAAAGTTGGGTTCATGTTGACGCATTAATCACAGTTGGTGGAGTTAAAATTGTTTCCTGTGGTATGCCACAAAACAGGTGCCTC